GCTACCAGCCGTTACTACCACAACACCTTCCTAACATCTACTCAGGATTGTACGCGCATGCCGTGACGATCTTCAAGAGATGCTTCTGCTGACCCAAGTACAGACAGTAGCTCAGACGAAATCCCTTATAAAATAAATATGGTAAACTGATTTAACAAGATAGCAATATATAGAAATTAGGCTCTCTCAATTTAGCATGTATCAATTCGTCTCTTCAAGCCAATGTCTCCATCCTTTATATAATTGATTTCCCAACAATTTTTGCCAAATCTGTAGAAAATCCATATGCCTCAATTCATTCCGTGCCATGTATTAATAATTCCATACTTTAACATAGCTTGAATCAATCATAGCCACATGTCGATTTCCCATGCTTAATTACCAACCAATTCCATAATTTGAATAATCTTCCAATTTCGAAAAGCCCTTCACTGAAATTTAACTTTGCTCTTCACTGAAATTTAACTTTTGCTGTAGTAAAAATACCCTTTTTGATAGGAGACGGTCCATGGTCCATAGATTAATTCCAAACTAACATCTAATTATTTTGTCAATTAAATTAGCCAACACAAAAAAGATTTTAATGTGTATCATTTATACACTTATATATATATATATATATATATATATATATATATATATATATATATATATATATATATATATATATATATATATATATATATATATATATACACACACACATACGGAGTATAATATTTTACAACTATTATTATTAATAATATAAGTATTATTATATTATTATGTTTGATTATTAATATTATATTGATTAATTTAAAATAAGTAGTATTACCATTATATTAGTATATATCTTAAGCACATGAGCTCGCATTGGCAAAACTGGGGTCAAGGAAGTCTCATTCTCTGCCATATTAACATTATTTGCACCCCTATCCATCTAATATGATGCTGATTGTACCGTAGCTTGATGTGTTACCAGGTTTTTCCTATTAGTGAGAAAAAAACTGATTTCAAAGACAAACTCACAGTTGTTTCATATCATCTGTTCTTAATTCAAAGGTACATAAAACATACATTTAGAGACTCATTCAAAAGGAAAAAGAAAACAATACATAACATTGAGTCTAAACCTACTACTTTGTCAATCAATGACAAAGTGGCACCCACTGATTTAAAAGTTCTCAAAGATCTGGCATGGAACTATGAACATGCAAGTAAATTGTAAACAAAAACTGTAGTATTGCCATTAGGCAAACCACCATTTTGAAACACTGTTATCTAGAAACACAGTTTACAAAACATCATCCAAACCATCAATCTCTTTTTTTTTTTTTCAACTTTAACAATACTTTCTTTCAATTTTAGAAATAGCAGTGCCCTACAATAAAACCATATATACTTTTCTTAGGAATTCAGTTTTGGCATACTAAAATACAATATGTGTTAAATTCATATACCTCTCTATCATGGAAGACGACTTCTATAATCTTGATCACCTTTATTGCGCCTCTTGTTTTTGAAGGTTGACAAATCACGTCCAAGAGTGAATCGACCCATAATGGGAGAGACTGAAGAGCACAATAAGCTACTGGTAGTTGTAGTTCTAGTGTTTGTATTCCAAGTTAACCATGTATATGTAGACTGGAGAGTTGCATCTCTATAGGATAGCCTTAAGCTTTTAATGGCCGCTTTTGGCTATCGTTTCGATTGACTAAACAGGCAGATATGCATCGCGTATATATTGTTTCCTTTCACATTTACACTGCCGTAAAATAGCCTAGATCTTAGGGATTCACCTACAAAATTGGACGGTGGAATTAATATTTGATAAACCCAATGATCTTTAAAATCGGCTGATAATTTTTTGTATTCCATATACTGAACTGACGAAATCAGTAGCATGAAGTGGAAGCAACAAGATAGCTAAGACTAAAGGAAGAATTCATTGAACTAGACTGTGAAAGGAAAGCTTGTTTATTCATCATAAGCCAAACAGAAGCAAAGAGCTCATATATATATGAGCTGACCAAGAGGAAAAGAAGAGGACAAAAAACCGTTATAACAAAATAACAGAAAGCTAGCTGTGCAATTACAAAAACACCCTTGCTGGTTCATATCCTTCACCCTTGCTGCTGTGTGTTTATATCCTTCAACACCCCCCCCCCCGTAAGCTGGATCATGAATATCAAGAATGCCCAGCTTAGAGTGAAAGGTTGTAAAAGCTGATTTTGGCAATGCCTTTGTAAAGCCATCAGCAATTTGTCTTTGAGAGGAAATAGGAAGCAGCCTTATCAAACCTTCATTTACTTTTTGTTTGACAATGCGGCAGTCAATTTCTATGTGTTTAGTACGCTCATGGAACACATGATTCTCCCCAATAGCAATAGCTGACTGATTATCACAGAATAGGGAAGTAGCAGCCTCAAGGTTCACATCCAAGTCTTTGAGTAGATAGTGCAACCACTGAATTTCACACATAATTGAGGCTAATGCTCTGTACTCAGCCTCAGATGAAGACCTAGATACAGTGACTTGCTTCTTGGTTTTCCAAGAAACCAAATTGTCTCCAAGATATATGCAGAAACTAGTAATAGATTTCCTAGTTTCACTGCAATTTGCCCAATCAGAATCTGAGAATCCTTGCAGTTTGATGTGAGTGTTGGATTGATAGAAAAGTCCTTTCCCTGGAGATCCTTTGAGATACCTAAGAACCCTGTGAGCAGCTGTGAGGTGAATGCTAGTAGGCTTATCAACAAACTGGCTAAGCTGTTGGACTGCATGTGAAATGTCAGGTCTTGTGTTTGTCAAATACAACAATCTGCCAATGAGCCTTCTATAAATTTCAGGATTCTCAAGTAAGGTACCCTCTGAACTGTTAAGACTTATTCCTGTTGTGGCAGGAGTACTTGCTGGTTTAGCTTCCAAGAAACCATTCTCTTTAAGGATTTCTAAAGTGTATTTTCTCTGGAATAGACTAAGGCCACTTGCAGTCCTGAATGCTTCAATTCCCAAAAAATAATTCAGGTGGCCAAGATCTTTAATATGGAATGATCTATCCAGAAAATCCTTCAGCTCACTGATCTGTTCAGAAGATGTCCCAGCCACTAATATATCATCCACATATACAAGCAAAGCAGTGAAAGAGCTTCCTGAATCTTTGGTGAACAATGAGGGATCAGCTGTGGACTGCTTAAAACCAACATTTTGTAGAGCTAATGTTAGTTTAGCATTCCACTGCCTACTTGCCTGTTTTAGCCCATATAAGGATCTTAATAGCCTACACACTTGCCTTGGCTTGTCTGTAATGAAACCAGGAGGAGGAGTCATGTAAACTTCCTCTTCCAAGTCTCCATGGAGGAAAGCATTGTTGATATCAAGCTGTTGAATGTCCCATCCCTTTGCAATGGCCACAGCTAAGAAGGTTCTTATGGTAGTCATCTTGGCAACAGGTGAAAAGGTTTCATTATAATCCACCCCCAATTGCTGAGTATACCCCTTTGCTACAAGCCTGGCCTTGTATCTCTCTATTGAACCATCAGCTCTATGCTTCACTTTGAACACCCACTTGCATCCAATAGGGCTCTTACCAACAGGAAGATCTGTCAATACCCAAGTGTTGTTATCAGCCAGTGCTTTTATCTCAGCTTCCATAGCATTTCTCCATGGCTCACGCTCAACAGCTTCCTTATAGGATTGAGGCTCTTGTGTTGCTAATATGGTTGCAGCACACACTCTTTGGCTCTGAGGCAAAGAGTCATAGGAAATGACCTTCTCTAGAGTGTGTGGGGAAGTTTTTATACAGGTATAATAATAGTCCTGCAGTTTTAATGGGATGTTCTTTGTTCTTTCAGACCTTCTGAGTGGTTGCTGACTAATATCTTCATGTTTAGGGCTTGCATCCTTATTTATTCTAGGACTTGATTCACCATTTGATCCGTTTTCTCTGTTAGAACTACATTGCTCAAGAATACTGACTGAATGATCTGCTGGGTGAAGTATCTCAGTTGACCCATAATCTGTCATATAGGGCATGGAACTTAGATTATGTGTGTCTGTGATCCTCTCTGGATACCTGCTAAGAGCAAGGTCTTCATTAATTGGAACAAGAGGTAAAGCTGGATTAAAAGGTGCAGGTCTGCCTGTAGGTATCCTCTCTTTGAGTGGATATATGTTCTCATAAAATTGTACATCCCTGGACACAAAAATGCAGTAGTCAGCAAGATCACATAAAATGTATCCCTTTATGTTGGCAGGAAATCCTAGAAAAATACACTTCTTGGCCCTGGGCATCATCTTATTCCTTCCTTGTGACACTGATGCACCAAAGCATAAACAACCAAAACTCCTGAAATGGTTATAATCCACAGATTTATTAAACATGAGCTCATAGGGTGACTTTCCACCATTAACAGAGGTAGGTAACCTGTTAATGAGATATATAGCATGTAAAACACAATGGTTCCAGAATTCCAAAGATACTCCAGACTGAAACCTAAGTGCCCTAGCAACATTGAGAATGTGTTGGTGTTTTCTTTCTGCAACTCCATTTTGTTGGGGTGTATAAACACAAGACTTTTGATGCACAATTCCCTTTTCATTAAGAAAGGAAGTCATGGAGAACTCTGTCCCATTATCTGACCTAACCATCTTGATCTTTGCTGAGAATTGAGTTTCAACATAGTTATAAAAATTTTGAAACAAGTCCTTGACTTCTGATTTGTTTTTCATCAAATGCAGCCATGTGAATCTGCTATAGTCATCAACCATAGTTAAAAAATAGTGTTGCCCTTGCAGGGATGCTACTGCAAAGGGTCCCCAAACATCCATATGAATTAAATCAAAACATTTTGCACTCTTAGTATTACTGATAGGGAAAACAGATTTTCTGTGTTTAGCAAAATGACAGATATCACAAGCAAAATCTTGAACTTTGTGGTACTGACCACATTTTATTCCACTCAAACTATGGATTTTGTCTATGGGATAGTGTCCCAATCTATTATGCCACATATGTAGATTCAAACTGTTACACTGACTATTATTCTCACAAAAAACTTCTTCTTGGCAGGCACCTGACTCAGCAAATAGAGCCCATCCTTTTCCTTAGCAAAACCATCCACCCTCCCATGAGGTCCCTGAATATCACAGGAGTCAGTACTCATCATAATAGTGCAACCAGTTTGCTTTGTCAATTTGCTGGTAGAGACTATGTTAAAAGTGAAAGATGGGATATACAATACATTCTTCAGCAACAAATCAGGAAGAAGTCTAACTTCTCCCATGTGTGTGACCTGAACAACTTCTCCATTTGGCAATTTCACAGAAACATCATTAATAGGAAAGCAGTTTTCAATATATTCCAAGGAGCATGTGATATGGTCTGTGGCTCCTGAGTCTACAATCCATACAGTAGGGCAATTTAGAACAGCAGAAATATGAGAGTTTGAGAGGAACTTGCCTTCCTTTGAATTGTCTAGAATTTTTGTGAAGTTTGATTTCATTCCTGTATCATTAACTGCAATGGCAGCACTAGTAGAAGACTGACTTCCTTGATTTTGTGTTTGTAGAAGAGACATTAGCCTCTTAAACTGATCAGGTGACAATCCTATATCTCCTACTTCATTAACAGAATGATTCAAACCACCAAAACCAGAACTGAAATTCTGCTGACTGTCTTGGACCTGTCTGTTCTTAGATTTATATCCTTGCACCCATTCAGGAGGAAATCCATGCTTCTTATAGCATTTCTCCACTGTATGACCATTCATTCCACAATATGTGCATTTTGGCACATTCTTTCCTGTTGAGCTATTAAATTTCTTTCTATTGTTTGAGGCTGTCATTGCCACAATATTCTCATCATCAGCAACTTGATTCTGTACAGCATTTGCTTGGATTACTTCATTATTCTTATGAACTGTGGCTCCATTCAGCTTTCTCCCTAGTTTCAAAGTCATGTTTAAGACCTTCTCCATAGTTGGGAGGGGGACCATGACTAGAATGCCTGATTTTATAGAATCAAAACCTTCATTAATGCCTTCCAGAAATCTAATAACCTGATCCTCTTCCCTGTCTTTCTGGATCTTAGATCTGAGAGAACAAACACATCTAGGCACACACTCACAAATAGGCAAAGGTCTAACAGCATTCAGTTTTTCCCATAAGCCATTACACTTTGTAAAGTACTCATTAATGGACATATTACCTTGCACACTCCTGTAAATTTCATTTTGAATCTCTGCAATCTTATGTGGATCTGTCTGAGAGTATCTTTTCCTTAGAGCATTCCAGATGTCCTCTGCCAATTCATAGTACAGCACACTCTCAGCAATGGTAGGGTTTACTGATCTCAGGATCCATGAACAAACGATATCATTTGATCTCTTCCAGGCAGCGAACCTCACATCTGATTCTCCAGGACTTCGAATTGAGCCACTGACAAATCCGAACTTGTTCTTCACCCCTAATGCCAGTTTCATGGACCTGCTCCATGTAGCATAATTGGATTCGGACAAGGGAGGTGAGACGAGCACGAGATTTGGATTCTCCGTGACATGAAGATACATCGGATCATCTACTTCATCCACACGATGCATCAAATTCTGATTCAGATGGATCTGACTGGCCGGAGTTGAAGCTCCTACTGTATTTCCGGTGGAGTTATCATTTCCGGCTTCATGATCCGTACTTACTGCCGCAGCGTAACTGCGATTCCGCTCTAATACCATGACGAAATCAGTAGCATGAAGTGGAAGCAACAAGATAGCTAAGACTAAAGGAAGAATTCATTGAACTAGACTGTGAAAGGAAAGCTTGTTTATTCATCATAAGCCAAACAGAAGCAAAGAGCTCATATATATATGAGCTGACCAAGAGGAAAAGAAGAGGACAAAAAACCATTATAACAGAATAACAGAAAGCTAGCTGTGCAATTACAAAAACACCCTTGCTGGTTCACACCCTTGCTGGTTCATATCCTTCACCCTTGCTGCTGTGTGTTCATATCCTTCAAAATAAACGTCACTGTTTCTTGTAAGCGGAAGTTTTTACAATTATGCATTTACTGCTTCTTATTGCTATCTCTGTTGAACAACGGTTTGTTTGGCCTCAATTAAAATCTAATGTTGGAACTTTTGTCAAACGATGTTATGTTTGTCAAACAAATAAAGGGCACTTCCAAAATACAAGCCTCTATATGCCATCGCCAATCCCATAAAAGATTTGGGAAGATTTATCCATGGATTTTGTCTTGGGGTTGCCACGGACACAAAGAGGGTTTGATTATGTTTTCGGAGTTGTTGATCGCTTCTCAAAGATGGCGCACTTCATTCCCTGCAAGAAAACTAGTGATGCAGCTCACATTGCTCATTTATTTTTTCAAAAAGTGGTCAGACTTCATGGTGTCCCACGCACAATCACATCTTATCGAGATACAAATTTTTTATCTCATTTCTGGACTATCTTGTGGAAGCGCTTTGAGGCAAGATTACAATTTAGTAGCACTACTCACCCGCAAACTGATGGTCAGACTAAAGTCACAAATCGTACCTTGGGAAATTTAGTTCGTTGTATCTGCTATGAGAACATCAAACAGTGGGACTTTTCTCTTACTCACGCTGAATTTGCATATAACAGTTCTATGCACTCCTCCACTGGTCCGTCTCCTTTTTTCGGTTGTTTACACAAAAACTCCCAAACATGCAATTGATCTTCTCCAACTGCCTTCCTCCGAAAAGATTCACAAGCAAGCAGATACCATGGCTTCACAAGTCCAGAATGTTTAGCAAGAGGTACGTACCAAACTTGAAGCTTCCAACGCCAAGTTCAAGGCTGCTACAGACAAAAAAAAAAAAAAAAAAAAAAAAAGGCGACAAAAACTCTTCAATGTTGGTGATGAAGTAATGGTCCACCTGCGTAAAGAAAGACTACCAACTAGTTTTTATCATAAGCTTAGCCCAAAGAAGCATGGTCCTTTCAAGATCCTCCGAAGAATCTGATGGAATTAATTAAACCGGGGGTTCGGATTCATTAACCCGAATGAATAAATAAATATAAAAAGTATCGGATTAAAACGATAATAGGGGTACGAATATAGTCACGGGGACTAATATTGTATTAATTGACTATGTAACGCTATTACAGAGGTATGAAACGTGTAATAACAAGACAAGAAAGTGTTTAGGACACAAGATAGAACATGCCCTTAAGAAGACAATTACTAGGCTATTTATGCAAAGGAAATTCCAATCAATTACGGCTAAATTCGTGGAGGGCCACGGGACTAAATCCAAGCCCATGTGGTGGGCCGTGAGATTAAGTCAAGGCCCATCATTCTAGGCCCGGAGGTAAGCTCTGGGCTTGAGACTCTTCTTGGGCTGCTTGGGTTATACATTCCCGGACCTGGATCTCTATTATTATTGGGTCATTTCCAATATATCCATCAGAATCAATCCTAATGCCTACGTGGGGTTGACATTCCAGATGAGTGGAAAACTTCCAAGACTTTTAATGTGGCTGACTTGTTCCAATTTCATTTTGATGCAGAGCCTCTATATTCAGATATTGCTAAACTCAAGGGCTAGTTTTCTTCAGGAAGAGTAGAATGATGGTGTTCACACATGCAGGCAGCTGAAAAACAAGTCCCATGCATTTATTAGTTGTTTTTATTTATATCAAGTATTTATTTTTCATGGGGCTCTATATGTCTTTTACAGAACCAAATAAGGAATATAATTCATATTCTATATCTTACTTTTCGATTCCCTATTGAATATTTTTCTTTTTCCTCCAAACTCAATTTTGTAAAACAAATATACTTTAAGGGAAACTTTGTATGATTTTTTTTTTCCATTTCTACATTAAAAACAAATAGACCAAATTCTGGGAATGAAATTTTTTTTGTTGACCCACCCAATTTAATGCCTCCAACTCCAATTGTCTAACCCTAACCCTTTAATTGCCCGTTATCGTTTCCCCCATTCTACCCTCCTCTCTCCCTCTCTCTATAAGCACCAAAATCCTCTTTGTTAATCCTCCGTCTCCATTTAATATATTTCCATTATTTATACTCAATACCTTTTCTAAATGGGAAACAAATGGGCCCAATTCTCTAAATATAATTTGTTTTCCTCCCGTCCAAATGTCTAACCCTAATCCTTTATAAGTTCTTTAACATTTTCCCCCTCCACCCTCCGCTCTCTCTCTCTCTCTTTCTAAGCACCGAAATCCACTCTCTCTCAAGTTTCCTCTCATTTTAATCTTCTCTCTCGCTCTCAATCTCTTTTGACTCTCGTTTCTCGATTGGGAAAAAAATGTTTCTATACATCTATCAACCCGATCTCATCAATCGTCATCGAAATACCTTAGATTGAGAAGGTAATCTCTACGCTCTCATCCACTTTACTAGATATAAGAGTTGAATTTTTTTTTTTTTGAATTTGAACCACAAAAAAATTGTTTTCTTTGTAAAAAATCAAATTGTGAAAACATTGACAAATTCATTTCGGAACATGTGTTATTGACTTCATCTCTCTCTCTATCTTTAAATATATACACACACTTCTAAAAAAATGTCAAGTTTTCATTTTCATTAGAAAGCTATTAAATATGTTCAAATCTATTTATTTAGGAATTAGTAATGGTAGGGGTAGGTAGGTGGTGTTTGATGATTAGGTATGTGGGTGAAGGTAACGCTATAAAAATAAGTGAAGTAAATATATATATATATATATATATATATATATATATATATATATATATATATTTATATATATATAGGGTTGCATTCAAATACAAACCCCCTTAAAATACAAACACTCCTTAAAATACAGACTTGAGCCCGTGCACACATTAACATACTTACATGCACACCGGGCGCACTGCCAATAATTTCTGGGATTAGCACGTGCACATATTAACATACTTACATGCACATAGCGCGTAGGAGGAAAAATCACAGCCATCCATCAAAGCTCGTGCACACATTAACATACTTGTATTTTAAGATGTGTTTTTACCTGAATGTAAATATATATATATATATATATATATATATATATATATATATATATATATATATATATATATATATATATATATATATATATATATATATATATATATATATATATATATATATATATATAGAGTAAATACCAGCGGAGGTCCTCTGACTTTGGTGGCATTGTCACTTTTAGTCCTCAACTTTTAAATCTACCACTCTTAGTCCTCTTACTTTTTGTTTCTAGCCATCTATGGTCCTTCCGTTAAACTTGACCATCTAATGCCGTTTTCTCAAGGATAATTCAGTCCTTTCATAATTAATTTATTAATTATTATGTTTGCGGAGTCATACCGAGATATCCCGACGTCATTTTGGCACAACCTTCATACCAGCTTTTGTACGCCATTTTGATTCACGAGCTGGTTTTGTACACGTTCATAGCTGGGAAACCATTCTTTGACTATTCTGATGAGGAAATTAAACATAATAATTAATAAATTAATTATGAAAGGACTGAATTATCTTTTAGAAAACGGCATTAGATGGTCAAGTTTAACGAAAGGACCATAGATGGCTAGAAACATAAGTAAGAGGACTAAAAGTGGTTGATTTAAAAGTTGAGGACTAAAAGTGGCAGTGCCACCAAAGTCGGAGGACCTCCGCCGGTATTTACTCTCTCTCTCTCTCTATATATATATATATATATATATATATATATATATATATATATATAGTTAAATTAATTCACTAATAATATACATAGAGAAATTAATCAATGATGTAACACTAGCAATATTTATTGGAATCATTTTGTAATTTGTATGGCTTTTATTCCTTTTTTACTGACATTTAAATTTTTTCTGGATAGTAAGAAATAGATAAGAGTTCGGTTAAAATATATATTTATATTTTTTTTATTTACAGATAACAAAACGAGTTCGGATAAAATATATAATCATATATATATTTTTATTTTCAGATTGCAAAAGGAGTTCGGTTAAATATATTAAATAACAACAAATAATATAAGGTTTAATTTGAATAAAAACCATGTTATGGTAGAAAGTTTATATCAAGTGTTTGTTTTTTATATTATTATTATAAACTAGTATTTGTCCCGTGCGATGCACGAAAATAAAAATATACCCTAGATGAGGTTTATTCATATATAAAATTTTTGTTATTTAATAATTATTATGTGTGAATTCCCATGATAAAATTATGAACATAAATATAATTACAATTAAAATAATATTTAAGGTGGGTGATTACTACAAATCTTAAACTATATTAAAAATTTAGTACATAATATTTAATAATACAAATTTTTAAGAACTTAATAAACTACAATAGTAATTGAATTACAATTTTAGAGTCACCACTTATCAAAATTTTTAGACCTTTGAGATTTCTAACACTAGATGTAGCAACATACAATTGACATTTAAAGACCAAAATCACAATCTTAGTTCGAACATTGATTTTTTCTTCCAAATACTATGAAATTAAGTGTGTAATCAATAAAAGATGAGAACTAATAATTCGAGAATATAATCTTAATGTTACTAAGCCTACTTCACGTCAATTAAGTTGGATAGTGTTGTTGGATAGTATCCGATAAATCCACGAATAACGCATCTTTGTCTTCGTAGTCCTCAATATGCACATCAACAATCTTAAATATTAGGCCGCCTAGCTATGCCATATATTAATTTCAAAATTATG